CTTTTCCAACCCTAATGATTTTGTGATTTCTGTGATCTAGAGATGTTCTGGGCACTTAAAACTGTTGCCGAACTCATTGGGAGCAGAATTCCTTGAAATACTGTAGCTGTCATACTCCAAGCTACCATTCTTAAAGATCTGTGTCTCTGATATCCCCTATAAAGGAAATAATAATATTGTCTTGCTTCAGAATGTAATTTCATAAGCATTTGTTTTGCTGATGGGTGAAGCAGTTGTTTTCTCTCCTTCCTGCACTTAAAACTGTTGCCGAACTCATTGGGAGCAGAATTCCTTGAAATACTGTAGCTGTCATACTCCAAGCTACCATTCTTAAAGATCTGTGTCTCTGATATCCCCTATAAAGGAAATAATAATATTGTCTTGCTTCAGAATGTAATTTCATAAGCATTTGTTTTGCTGATGGGTGAAGCAGTTGTTTTCTCTCCTTCCTGCAGTTTTTAGGGCTCTGCAGTGACGCAGGTTTCCTTATCATATGGCTGTCCAGTATCTGTATTAGTATGGAGAAAGGGGGTGGCTGTTACTGGGAGTCAGCAGGTAGTAAAAGGAGGCTACCTATGGCAACAGTAGTACTTAAACTGGTCTAAGCAGAAATGTGTGGTGAAGACAAATCCACAAATGTTTGAGAAGCACCAATATACATGATGATGAGCCCTGTAAATAACCCTGAAGGAATCAATGCTTTTCTTCAGAGCAAGGTATGAATATTGTGCAGTAAATAATGCATCACAGCATACATAGAAAAAGGATGTGAAAAATAAATATTGAAGAGGTGTTCATTAAGTGTGCACCATCTATCTGGCTCACTGCATGAGGCAGGTGTTCCCTTGAAGTGGTCTGTAATTAAAGACTACATCAGTAACACACAGATGAAGGAAAGGCTGTCTGCCTCATCATTTTTCGACTTCAGAACCGTAATGACATCCTTTGAATATTGTACCTCTCCCAGTTCTGCTGCCTTAATTAAGTTTCTTGTGAGCTGGAAAACAGTGTCAAAGTGTTTCAAGATTGTTTTCAATAAGGAAGTAGTATTTTAGAAAGTGTCACTTCAGGAATTAAAAGCCCCTCATTTTTTCCATGCCCTTCTCAACTGAGAGATGATTAATAAATCCAGAGAAAAAAAAAGACATTTGCTGCTGATGCATATGTACAATTCCAGTTCGCCTATGCTTTCTCTTTAATGAGATTAAGATAGGATTTTGGGAGGGAAACCAGTTGGCATTATTTACGTCTGATCTAGTGAAGAGAACACAAAGTTCAGCAGACAAAACTTCCGTTCTTAGTTGTGCACAGAATAGGTGTCTGTGTAATGAAGGAGTGTGCAAACATTTTTGCTTTGAAGGAATCTCAACTGATCCACGTTCTAGTGTGAATTCCAGCCTCAAGATTTGTATGCAAATGATTGTATTTTTTCTCCTGGGGCAGTTTGACATATATGTATAATTTTATTAAATTTTCATAATACTTTTAACTCTTGCTTTTCTTTCCTCATGCATCCACCACAGATCACATTCAATTGGGTAAGACACATTACTCTTCTTGAATACTGCTTCTGTATTTGACAGGATTTTTTATGGAATATAATGCAGTAACCTCTTTCCTTTCAGCATCATTATATATGATAAAAACATATGTACTTAAACGGTAATGCCTCATTTTTACAGCATGGTGAGTATAATGAGGAAAGGACTGGACTTAGTGTTTGCCTTGCTCTTGAGTAGATTAGTCTCAAATTCAAATAATGAACACATTCAAAAGATGTTGCTCTTGGGAAAACCTATTTATATGTAATCCCATTCTCCCAACCATCTTTTTCTGTCAGAGGTTGAAACAGCAAACATTCAGTAAAAATTCTGTTCAGCCTGCAGAGCTTTATAAAGGTTGTATAAAGAATTTAATTACCTCCTCTTCAATAAGGCAAAAGTATATTAGTCATGAAGTGAACATGGTGACTCTTTAAAAGTCTTGAGTCCAGGGGAAATTTCCAATAGTAGGCCAAATTCTTAACATGATTAAAAGGGTTCTTCATATTGACAGCTTGAATTTATTGATGCTGTAAAGCACTTCAATATATGATGAATTACAAAACAAATTTTATGTGTGCTGAAAGATTCCATAAGTGGTCTGGCTTTACATCAGTTCACCCAGTGGAGGGACTGAACAGCCCTCAATCCCCTACAGTCCCCCTGGCCTCGTAGCATCACCAGCGTGCAGGACAGGTCAAGAACAATTTTTCTGTTCAGTTAAGTAATCCTAACATGGACTCTTACTTCACTGATAAAACTTCAAAATGGGGCATAGATTGACCTTCTTTCCTATCTCCCTCTGACATGAAACCAAAATGTAATGTTTAGCAACCTTTGTCAGGAAGGATCACTGTTCTCTGCCTCTGCACTGGTCAACGTCACAGACATGTGTGTCTTTAGAAGAGTCTTAGGCTTCTAGTAAAAGAAGATGTTGTCACTGTTCCTATAACTCACATCCTCACCTCTTTAAAGAAACTGAAAGATGAACTCAGTGAAATGTGCACTTGGTATTCAGATTGTCTGTCACATGCCATCTCTCAGCTGTGCAAATTTAATTTGGCACAATCTTACTTAGACCTTCAAATTTGGAGTGTTTTGCTTATTAGAAGAGGAGCAGCCTATGCTGACATACTTCCAGATTCTTATTTTTGCCTATTTGTCATGTGTTACAAGACTAAAATGGCAAGCATGCTTGTTTAATTTAATTAGGGTTGTTAAAGATTTGCTGCACTTGTGAAATGTTTGGGCTAATCTTTCGTAAGTCTTAAAAAGATGTGAAAAATTCAACATGAAACATTTGCATTGTCTGCTGTCAGTTCTTGTCTGTCTGAGCTTAGCAGAAGCCTTAAAATATACACAACAGCAAACAGTTCATGTAAGTTCTCTCTGTCCCACCTGCTTGCCAAATAGCTCTTTCCTCCCCCCACCCTCCCATTTCTGAATTTTGAATCTGGAAAAAAAAGAATCTTGTGTGTGTATATGGACGCGGTGCTGCTCTGAATTTGTATAGTTTAGAACACACACATGTGCTGTTTATGTGAGAGCTTTCATTTTTTTAATGCTATAATTATGCTTTGCTTGGTCGCAGCCAAACGGTGCTGTCCCTTAAAGTAAAGCTCTCACTGTTCTCAGTCAGACCACTCTGCAGCTGTCAGTCACCACTGAAAGTAGCCATGCATGAATTTTCAAAACAATACATACTCTTGCATTACACAATTTACTTATAATGTTCAGATCTAATACTTATGGACAGTTCTTACACTTTAAATAAAGATTCATATTCAGAACGGGCTCGGTGCTGCCCAGCAGAAGGGAATAGGTGATGCTATGATTAGCGGAGTTGGCTTTGGTGGCTCAGGTAGGAGGATGTGGCTAATGTAAGTCAGGCAGTCAGGGTGAGTGGCCATCTGCAGGCTTAAAGGTGTGCAAGACTATTTGGGGATCTTTGAGTGATGCAGAGGCTCCATCCTCCGCTTGCCAGCCCTCCAGTACTCTTGTGCTGGGAAGTCTGAGGAGGGAAGTGTCACAAGGAGAGCTGGATGAGAGCTGTGGAAACCGGCTTTCTACCCTTGATAATGTTGAGGTGTAAAGGAGGAGGTGAAAAGTCCTAGAGAGATGGGGACAGCAACTGTTGCAGCTGAGGGCACTGCCTCTCTGGTTGAAGAAACCTCTTGTTTAGGTGGCCTGTTGTGCAGGAGCCTATATAAATTGGGGGCCAGCAGTGGCTATTTGGACTGTATATATTGTACATGAAACAAAGGCAGGCAATTGCCTACTTGCCTACTGCCTTGAACCAGCTCTGTTTGAGTTCACAAACCTGAGGCCAGCTTACCCAACAGAGAGCCGTCACTGCGGAACATGGAGGTGGCTCTGTGTTCCTCTATCCCATGTCGCATGTCTCTGTAGGTAGCAGGGGTCTGTGTCATTTAAATGGATATTGCCAGGAATGGTTTTGCATCGTTCATTTGAGCCCTATTAAATTGCTGATCAGTTGACATGAGAATGTGTTGGTAAGTTCTTCAGTGCTGAAAGTGAGCAGGAATTCACAGGTGAGTTTGACAAGCTGTTGCCATCAGGAGAGGAAGAGTAGCAGCAATCTTGAAAATATATTTTTTTTTTTAATTAAGTTAAAAAAATAAAAATGATGCTATAATCATGTTGCAAACTGGATTTTACAGCTTTTTTTCCTTATCTTTTGCTTTCATCCCACAGTTACTCTATTCGCCATTCCATAAGCATGCCTGCGATGAGGTAATATGCTTACCCATATCCTATTTGCTATGGTGATGTTGAACAGTGTAATGAGGGGGAATCTGCATACTTTGATCTTGATCCTGCAGTTTTTAGTTGGAGGAATAGTCCCACTTAAATCAATTAAGGTTACTCATGTAGATAAGGGCTGCAGGACAGGCCATCTGTGTTTTTTTCCTTTTAATTGTATTAACTGTTTAATCTCTTGTACAAGCCTTTGAGTAAACGACGCAGTTCTGAGATGCATTTGGGTAGTTGATTGCTATCAGGTTTGTATTACTGAATCTGAAATTCCGTTGTTTTGCTGTCTCTAGAACATCATCCAAAACCCACTAACGTCAGAGATGCTTTCCACTCCAGCAGGCTTTGGCTTATGCTCCTATGGAGGGATTTTATATGAGTGCTTTCATATTTTAATGGCTGTAATCATGCTTTACTTGACCGCAGCCAGATACTGATGTCTGTTCAAGTAAAGCTCTGACTGTTTTCAATAAAATTAGGATCCAGCTTTCTTTTTACCCCCTCAGCCTCTAAGTGTATGTATAACACCACTCCCTGACAAGTATGTGGGGAAAACAATTCTCCTAACTATATGATGGATGCTAATTCATTCAACTTCAGCAGGTGGATAGTTTAAGGCAAGCATTCACCAGTGTGACCTATGGGTCAAATGTAAGTCATAAAACTCAATTTCTCTCTCCTTTTGACCCTTCTTTCCCTGTGAAAAGTTTGTCACCTTTTTAACAGAAACTAAAAGTAAACCTGCATTATTTTTCCAATTGACTTCCATTTGTCCTTTCCTTAAATTAGGGTCAGTTTAACTTAGCCTGATGAGGGATATGATGTAAATGTATTTGCAGAAATAGAGGCCATCAACATGCTCCTTATAAGTTCCCAGAAAGTGCAAAGAGGATGAACTGGAACCCTGAAGTTTTAGCAGCCATTGGCTTCACCACTTTGCGAAATGAAGCACAGGCTCTTGCATGTGTTTGCCTTTCCCCATGGCTGACAGGGAGGCATGAGCACCTGCCAGGGTGAAGTGGTTCTGCCTCATTGTTCCACCGTGAGGGCACCCTCCGTTGTGGTTAAAGATCACTGGTATGTTTTATTTCACCTAGAAATAAATGGATGTAGTGTTTTTAGTACATCCTGCTGATCGTGGTGTTAGGAGGTACCCTGCGCTTTCAGTGGTAGTGGTTCCTATCTCTTTCTGCACATACCACAATGGACAGGTTAAAAAAAAAAGCTGAAGAACTAAACACTCAGTTCAAGTAACTGCTTCATTATACTGCACTGGGCTTAGGGAGATCCAGTCACCTGTTTCTTATGGTAAAGAAAATACAAGAGGAACCCCACTGGACAACAGCTTCTGAGCTGCAGAGTCTTCACTAATAATGAAGCACAAAGTATGCTATAACTGGGCTCTTGGTTGTCAGGCAAGGAGCAGAGAACCAGAAGAAGGTCCCCTTCACCCACTGTAGATTTGCCCAAGTCCTTTGTTCTGGTTAAACTGCTGGAGGAGGAGACAAGCTTTTGTACTCACTCCAGCTTGCCGCCTTCTAGCATGTCTTCCTACGTGGGACAGGGATTATCAGCAGTGGGGAAGCTGCTGCGAAAAGGGGAGAAGAGGCATCCATCTAAGCAACTGAGGGGCAACTTGAGTATAGCTGGGGATCCGTACTCTCAATTTAAAACAGCATATGCATTATATTCATAATATTACGTGGCAGATATTAGTTGTGGTCAGTATGTTCTGTTTGCAGGAAGAAATGTAAAAAATTAAATGCATTTAAAATGAAAGAGAAGCTATGTTTCAAGTTTTGGAGAAAGAAAGAAAGACCAAGGTTGTCGGGCAAGCCAGCAAACAAAATAATGTGGTTTGCTTTAAGCAGGAAAATCACAGCTGTTGCCTTTTTTTTTTAACTCTGTTAAGATGTTCAACTCACAGTTTTCCAAAAACAGTGTTGTTTTTTGTTCTACGGGGAGTGAAAGGCAAAGAAAAGCTTAGCTTTGTCAGAGGGGAACCCTTGGGACACAGTCTTCCTCAAGTCTTTGTCTTTGAAAGCAGTGGGATACACCTGCGGCCACAAAATCATGGAGTGGGGCGTCAGGATTCCTCAAAGGCATTTGGGACCCGCTCCTATGTAGTTCTAATCTCCTTTATCCTAGCCTCAGGACATTAAACTGTCATCTTTTTAATTATCTAGATTATGAACTTGCTGATCAGCTGAAAAAATGTGTTCATTTTGTTACAACACAAATGGATAAAACTATAGAAATGCGGCCCTACAGCCAGCGTTCTCTGGTTGTTTTTCTGAGAACGTGATGAATGTATCAGAGGGTAGGCAGGCCCGTCACTGTTTGGTTTCAATTACCAGGCAGGTTCTGCTTTTGCAAATTTGTAGCTAAAAAATGCTCATCCGATTACTGTAATTGGATTTGACTGACGGAGCACAAGTGACTGTTCATACCCTATCAGTCCTGTGCTGCCAGCCAGCCTTCGTTCTGTCCTAGTGTTGTCGCCTGGTAAAGACTGATGACATTGTGGAGTTACCTCATTACGTTTGCAACTGACTCTTCTTCTTTCCTTGAAATTTCTTTTTCTCCTAGGAATTCTCCAACTTTCAAATCGTTTGAGGAGAAGGTTGAAACCACTGTCACAAGCCTTAAGGTAAAGGTTAGAGGCAGAGTTAATGGCTGTGCGTGTTGAAAGTGCGACAGCTTAGTCGTCCCTATCATTTGTACAGGAGACCGATTGAATTTGCTGTTCGAGAATTTCACGGAACTGCAAGAGCACTAATGGAAAATGAAGGCAATATGCAGACAAATAGTCTTTCTCTGCTTTGTTACTAGGAAATTACTTCTGTTGTCTGCCAAAGTAAACAAATGGTCTCAGAAATGCCAAAAATACGGCCATACTAAAATGGTAAGCAGGGGCATCTCCTAAGGTGTGACCACGGTTGGTTATGCTGTGTAAGGCAGAGCCACGTCCAAGGTTAGATTCTGAAAGCAGTGTGGCCTCATGAGTTTTGGGATGTGCCCTGTCAGACAGACGCAGCCATGTGCCTTGCAGAGTGAACTTCCATCGCTGAGCTACACTCCTTTCAGTACTCGAGATGTACTCACCAAGTGCCCCTTAGCTGGTGGGAGCTGCCATGTAACTCGAGTGTGCTTCACACTACCTGCGTGGCCTGTAGCACTGAACTCGCCTTTCTCTAATGCAGGTGTGTTTCCTCTCAAATTTCAGTGCTTTGGATTAAAGATTTCAAAACTATATTAACATATTTGCTGTGGGACAGGAAGATCTGATGGCAAAGTTACCAGTTATCACTAATACCACTTGTTAAGGCTCTTACTTGGCAGGACAGAGCATGGCAAATTTGCAGTGAGCTAAACTTTGCTGCATGGTAAGGCACATTCAAGGGGGAACAAGAGGGTTTGTCTCCTAATGGTTCTTATTCATCAGATAAAATCAAGTAGGCTCATAAAATGGCATTTTACTTTGCTGTGACAGATTCCAATGCATTCCAGTACAGTCTGTCAGTGGACAAGCGCCAAATTGATCACCCCTCATTTTAGGAGGAACTGAAAATCCTAGATTAATGTCAAAGGGCATTACAACTTGTAAGGCATTAAAAAGGCAAGAAAATGGCCTTCCACTTGGGACAGAAGGACATTCCTTGTTACAGAAAATGCAGATTGCAGCTAGAACGGAAGCAGCAGGTGCACAGAGAAGGTCTGTCTTTTCCATGCTACTCTGCAATCGTACAGTAGATAAAATTTTCCAGTCAGCGTTTGAGGAAAGTAAGCAGCAGCGAGCTTGATTTATTTTTACATTTCTAAAGATGCAGACTTGCTCTATCATTTTCACCTTTTTGAATGTTCACATTTATTTAGCGATACGCTGTTGTGACCTGAGGTCATGATAAGTGTGGGGTAGCATCATCTCCATTGCACTGTGTTGGGGAAGGAAACAACATTTCACAGGTGGGAGGCAGCATCCCAAGGAGCTGGAACAGAACACAGAGTCCCTGCTCGGTGCCTGTATACACCTTCCTCCTCTTCATTCTTTTCACCTTTGCTGCCAATGGTTTTTATACTCAACCTCACTGTAGGAGAAATCATGCAGTGAGGTGCATCAGCTTGGAATGTCTGAATTCTTGCCTGCTGCAGTCAAGCATGTCACTTGCTTATCTGTATATGCTTCTTCCACTTCTGTCCATTTAGATAAGGGGTGCAGTGCAGCTCATTGGAACACCTGAGGTCTGAAATTGATTTTTTTTTTTTTTCTTTTTGCATTTTTCACCACTCACAAGTTAGAAGAAACTACACTGGAGAAGGGTAGCACTTTTTGTACCCGTTCAGTCATTCAGTCACTTAATTTACCCTTAGGGCTTTCAGTAGTACCTTTAGCTCCCAAGTTTGCTTCTAGACTACTCTAGACTCCACAAATCCTTTCCTCCTACACCTATGGCCAACGTGTGAGAGGGACAGCTTAAAGCCTTTTGCCTTGCTTGGCAAGGACAAATGTGAGCGATGTCCTTTCTGCATCAGGGGTGGGGTGTCTGTTTCCACTCACCTCAGTGGGCCATTCAGAAAGAGAAAAAGTCAATTCAAACTGCACAGCTCTGAAGACCATTTTTTCTCACAGTGATCTGCTTGAGGAGCCTGATCTTATTTTGCTGATTAAGCAAAGGCATTCTCTTCTGGAGGAGATGATTTGTCATGTCAGCTCTTAGCCTATCATGTGTTCAGGGTGCTTTTAGATCATCCTTTGAGGAATCTTTAGTTAAGCAGGACAAAACAAAAAGTCGTGAGTCTAAAGTCATCTTCCACATCCCATGAAACCTTTGTCCATCTTTATTAGCAAACCAACTGACATTTATTGAAATATTTTCTGTCTGTATTCTCCTTCTGATCAGTCCAAATCAATGTTCTTTTGAGAATTTTAATTGGCAAGTAGAAGTCCTGATTGTACTACAGGATTTGCCATTACAATTTAATAGTAGCTTTACTAGGCAGTGGCTGCCTTTTCCCTGCAAGTTTGGGCCTACCAACATTTAACAATATATGTATTTTGTATTGCTGCTTGCAGAAATCAGTGATGAACCAATACTTTCTGAAAGTCAGCACAGCCCACTAGACTGGATACAGATTTTTAGCTCTTGAGATGGAAACTTTCAATAACTGTGACTCAAACCGTCAGAGCAAATATCAAGCTTACTACTACCACCTTATTTTATTGAACTTTCAAGCTAGGCAAGCTCCTGTGCTAGCTGATGAAACAAAGGATTATATAGGATTAACCCTTTGGAAACTTAGGACACATAGTTCTTTTAATTAAAATATTCTTCCTAAGCATTCAGTAGCTGACAGGCTGGAAAAATGTCAGCTTGTCTTAAGTCCTGCTGCAGCTCTAGGATAGAGTAAAAAGTTTTGCCCTATTTTCAGGCTCGAATCAGCTTCGAGTGGGCGTATCAGCAAGCCAAACTGCAAAAGAATGTTCTCTTACCAAGACAACCCAGTCAAAACAGCTTTGTCTCTTTGTCACTTAGTCTTGACCATTTCCAGATCTTTAGATAAAGCTCAGTCTTTGTTAGGAAAACTATTTCAGAGATTTTAGTCATATTGTTTTTTTTTTTTTAATACTTGTGTTTACAAATTCAGCAAACTGAAGCATTTTGAAAGTAGTTGACCTGTGAGCACATGGTCATGTGTTTCATTAATGTAATTTGGTATCTTTTTCCCCCTCCAAAGGGGAATGCTGTGCGCAGGTTTCTGTATCATTATCTTGCTAGCTGCAAGTACCTAAAGGGAGACAAGCTGCTGCTTTTGTTCTTTGGTTACTTCTACTGTCCGAAATCCCAGTATGGTTTCTGTATTTTGAGAGCAGCTGTGTTACCATTGCTGGCAGATGGGCCACTTTTTACTTGGCAAATGAACCAAGTATTTAATACCCATCTTTTATTCAGCCTGCGTAGAACTGGAAGACACAGTGAAACCAGTAAGAGCTACTTATATAAAGAACTGCACTGAATTTACAGGTAGGATCTAGGATCATGCTTGGGATCTACTGAGGGACTGGTTCCTTTAGCGTAGGATAAATGACACTGGCAGATTCTATGATTGCAGCCTAGAAGTTTGGAAATTGGGGGAGGAAAAGGGTTGCTTTATTTGACTGTTTTTACAGCTTTTGTTCTAAGAAAAACCCAACCCCAGATGTTCCCTGCCTGCTTTGATCAGTTCCCAGCCCTAGCCCTCCATGGCCATGGGGTGGAATGCAAATGGGACTTGTAACAGTGTGAGCAGAGGAACTTGCTGTTCACTTTGTTTGCCCTGTTTCAGACCAAGGTTGGTGGGACAAGCCACACAGGCGGCAGTTTTGAAGAAGTTCTCAGCTCCACAGCCCATGCCAGTGCTCAGAGCTCTCTTGCTGGTACCCGACTCCCTGAGAGCGAAGAAGAGCTTCAGTGTTAGACCGCAGGCTCTCAGCCTCACAGGCCTCTCTTCAGAGACTTGCCCAGCCAACTTTAGACCTCCCTCGCCACCCAACTTGTGCAACAAGGTTTTGTCAGCTTTGGAAAATTGCCTCCCTGGCCTTGTGCTGGAGAAACATTTCCTCTCTCGTTTGTATTCTAGATGGGCCATTTTATCATCAGGTACTTTGTACACCATAGAAACCGCACACAAATCATTGGCTTATAATGCTCTAAATTCTAAGTGACCAAAATAGGTTTCATTTTCACATAACTTCCCTCCAGCATTCTCCTGTGTTTCTTATTTATTTTAGTTTACAGTTTTCTATCTGTTGGTTTCCAACTCCCCTCTCAGTGCCACATCAGACAGATGGACCCAGAGCTGTGCAAAAGATTTCTACTGCCAGCAATAGTCCGTATACCAGCTGTCTACCAGCCATACCAGGTGCCCTTTGCTCAGGAGTGTCTATACATGATCTGTTTCCTAGCAGAATTAAATCACTTATTGTCACAAAAAGTTTTTTCTCCTTCACTGGTACAGTCTGGCATTGGCCTCCCTTATTAGGCAGGAGAGTTAAGGAGGGCAGGAAGAGACACCCAGTTATTCATATTGAAACTGAACTGATCACAGCTGCTGATTTAAGGTGATCATTATAGCTGGAGAAGCTTCAGTTTAAAAATATGATCCATTCCTTGCCCTCTGGTTTGGTAAGACTTGACAGGGTAAGTAAGTGAATTACAAAGGGAAGTGGAGCAGATGGAACTTCTAGTATATCTTCCCCCTCAAAAAAAAGGGAAGGTGTATATTTATGAGCCTCTGTCAAGATAACAGCCTTAAGTGAAAGAACACAAAACCAACAATTGGCTTAAGATGTGCCATAGGTTAGAGAGCCCATTGCCTTTTGGTCCGCATTTCAGAGCTGCTAGCGTAAACCCCGTTATCTTACAAATACACAGGATGAGTAGGTGCTTCACTCCAGGACATAATTCCACCAACCCCATTATATCTGCCAGTCATCTCTCAGCTTTGCTTCAGCATGTTTTCTTGCATCCTTTTAACATGTTTTTCTAAGAAAAGAGCAGCACACTTGTAACACTATCTTGCTGTCTAGTGAGCACACGTCAGTCTGCATGCTGCATTACTCAGTTCACCAGACTGAGGTGAGCATAACTTTATAATTTATTGATAAACAAGGTGGAAAACAGTCAGGCTACTTTCAAACTGGATGCATTTTTTGAGCATAAGCCAAAGCTTCACATCAGTGTTCGTAAGTTTGACATTACAGACTGCTTAAAATCTTGTGAGGAAACTTGGCTTTAAGTGATTTTATTCCTGTATGGCTTTTGTTATAGTTTTTACAAAGCTGGTAGTCCTTTTGTAATGTTCTACTGGACATAAGTTAACTTTGATCATTTACATCAAATGCCTCTTTAGTGTCATTTTTAGCATGGAAGCAAATCTAATTAGGGTTTTTTTAGTACAGTTTTCTTGTAACAGTTTGCTAGCTTATTTTATGTGGTTTTGTGCAAAAATGTGAATTTATTTAAATAAAGAAGATACTAATGGTCAACTTAAGTTTTGTGTAAATGAAGTTAATCGATATTCTTACTAAAAATAAATTTCTGTCTTACTCTTTTACACTTTGTGATGTTTTCTTTTTAATTATTTACCAGTATTGATTGATTAATTAAAAGGGAGCTTATAAGAAAGATGAGGACAGACTATCTACTTGAAGATGTCCCTGCTCATTGCAGGGGGGTTGGACTAGATGGCCTTTAAAGGTCCCTTCCAGCCCAAACTACTCTATGATTCTACGCTTACTGTGCATCTCTAAGCCTTGCTCTGTTGCTGCAGAGTATCCAGGTAAATTGCAAGAACATAGTCTGCCATTCCAACAGTTCTTAAAATCTTTTCAGTCCCTTCTGGACCTGAAATGCCCCATAGAAAGCTGTGGCACAAGTTCTGAAATTGTTGAGGTTTAAAGGAGAAAAATGACTGAACCGAGTTCAGTAAAAGTGAAACGCATGGCAGAAAACATCTTCTAGTTCTAACACTATTGTCCTCTTGAGCAGGGCCAGCAGCTAAACCAAGGTTCAAACATGGAGTCCAAGCACTGTCACCTTCTACAGGACACAGATTTAGACCTCATCTTATTCATATATATATGTGTATATATATACACACATATACACACAGCAAAATACTTCTGGGAAAACAGTGAATTGTTTTTAGCTACATTCATTACCAGCATACTTTAAAGAACTTGTGTCAGCATGCCTGTTAGTAGAGGCAGGATGGCCAGACAAGCTTCTCTTCCCCATGAATCCTCACGTTATTGTCATTACAGCAGCTGCCACCATGTAGTAGGTTCAGTGCTGGGATGGTGATCAGAAGATGGGGGAGGAGGTGATTTCCTCTTATAGGTCACGTGTCCAGGACCTAGTACACTTTTCTTACATGTGAGCAGCACACTTAGGTACTGCATTAGGGAGCCTGAAGCCCCACAGACTGTTTGCTAACCTTTCTATCAACCTGTCATCACAGCTCGTGCTTTCTGATTGCACTTCGTCCTCCAGTCTCTTTCCAAGCAATTCCTGCTTCTATTAAAACGCACCGCCCAAAACTGACACACGACTGCACCTGCACTGAGCAGAAGGGAATGTAATTTTACATAAAGTACCTGCTGCATCTCTTTAAACGAAACCAAACCGCACACAACACACACTCAAACCATGGCTCTCTCCCAGGATTGCATTTACCTTGCACCACCGCACTGCTGACTTGGGTTCAGTGCTCTGTCCCCCAGATCCCCAGCAGAACGGGGTATCGCCAGCCAGTAACACCTCCTGCTGCGTTGGAGGAGCCCACTGTTCCTGCTGGGGTAGCGCTTGCCCCATGGGTGCTTCTGTCAAACATCTTTTTAAGGCCATGTCTCTTCATTTGTCAATGTTCTCAGTTGTGATCTCCAATGCATCTGTAGCTCTTCCACGCTTGGCACTGAATGCAAACTAATGGAGACTGTGGTTTGCAGCCATCTGGGGGGAATAAAAACGCTGAAGGATGACAGACCTGCTCCATCACACTTGCAGCATGACAGTTGGCCACCACCAACCACTAAGGCAAGAGCCACCAGCAGCTCTGCACAGCTCTGCCTCTGCCAACAGCACCAGCTGCAGAACGCAGCCCAAGCTTCGGTCAGGCCTCTCGGGTTTGCGCGAGGGAGACATTCCCTGAGTCATGGTGCCTGAAGATGTGTGCTCAGCTAAGTTACCTACCTTTAAAGGGGATGACAACTGCATTTAGTTTTATGCCACCTTACTTGACATGAGGCTAGAGAGAGAAGCCAGCTCTGGGTCTCTATCATGCAATTTTTCCAGGTACAAACTTGCATTACGTGGTAATTGTGACATCGTCCCAATCTCCAGTGGCACACATGATGCAACAGTTAGTAGTGCAGACTGGCCTCAGTATGGCACTTGCCACCACTACAGCTTTACTTGATGGCCATACTGTACTTTCACATTAGCATTATTACTTCCACTAAAAACTGCCATTTACAGCAGAATCGGCACCAGCGTGCAACAGCGTTAAGAAGGCCCGGCCAGCTTTGCACGGGCGTGCTGCCTTTTGCATCAGACTGCTCACGGTCCCTGCCAACCTCCACGATTCTGCCATTCTCCGTTACCTGTGCAAGAGTCTGTAAAACTGCCAGGCTGGGGCGAGGGGCAGTCAGGAATACTGGCCTTTCGGACACATCGGCACCATTCCCTGATGCCACACACAAACAGTGGAAAAATTTTATGAAACAGTAAATGTATTGAGAAGATATAATTAATGAGATTATCAGTTTTATCAACCATCAGTTCTTAAGGCTCATGCACTCCAAAGAAATCTCACCTCTAAGTCTGGCTCTGTCAAGAGCTTCTAGAGAAATGTGCTCATTGGTCTCGCTTCCATGTAGCACAGTGAACAGGTATTAACCCACTTGGTACAGAAGGTACTTAAATCCATACGTACTTAGAAGTCCCCAAACAAGACTACCTGTCCCAGTCAGTGCTTTACATCAACAGATTAGACTGCAATTAGCTAAATTTTAAACTTACCTGAATTTCCCCAGTGAAGAATCTATTTGTAACTGAGACTGCATCAATCAGAGGCTGATCAAAAACAGAAAAAACCCAGACAAACTCTGTCTAAATATCTGATCCTTGATACAACCTCTGATCGGGGAGGTAACTATGCTGCCTGCTCCTATCTAAGTGGTCCTGGGATTCTCAGCAGTGAATACACAGAAAAAAATCTGCTGGAAGAATTAGTGATGTTATGGGAGGAAAAACAAGGCACAGAATGTAAAACAAAATATTTATTATAGCTACAGCATTTAGGTACACCTCAGGAATGTGGATGAGATGGAGCAGCTATTTTTTTATTCCTTTCTTTGTTAATCAGAGATACAAGATGGAGTATTTCTGGGTGAACAAACTTTCCTGCAAAACAAAAGAAAGGGAAAGTTAATTAAAAATGCTCTCATTTTCCGATGTGATAAAGGTTGGTAGTGATGTTGCTTGTAGGCTCAAAATAAACACCAGGTTATTCTTTTAAGAGAGTACTCCCATTTACTCCAACTATGGAATAACTGTAAGAGTAGTTACAGCTATTTTTCCCCAAAAACTTATAAAAATATTTAATGCTCAATTAAGACACGTAAGAGCTGAAAAAAGGATGCACCCTAACCAGGACAATCCCATGCTATGTATCCAGCTACAGGAAACCATCCCAATTACAGGTGCATGTAGGGTATATGCTCTAGGCACTACTGAGACACTAGTTTAAGTTACTGAGTTCTAGTAGAAGGGCAGAGATGTCAGTTACAAAATAAAGTACTCCAGATACACTGATGTTGTCCTTTTAACTTCTTCCTCATCAAATCATTGCATTTTTCAGAGAACTTATTATTTCCCTGAAGAGTCACCAAAGCTTGTCAGGGACCGTGTCTGGCGATTGCTGGTCATCTCCCCAAGTTGGTCGGTCCCTAGTTTTTTCCCAGGATAGAATGACTTGGATTCACAGTCCTCTTCTGATGTTCAACTCCTTTGCTAAAATAATAAAGACCTGTTGTTTTGGGTTTTTTACCTGTTTTCCTTTCCACTATCAGTTTATATTGGAAAGGATGAATAGTAGTGGATAGTGTAAGAACTAATACAATTGCACTGAAAACATTTCACTGAGCTGGTTCTCACATGTACCTTGGGCAGGTCACACAAGACCACACAGCTCACGTAGGGATAACCCGTTCTACTTCATTGGTTCATGAAGCACTAACAAAGTAGAAAAAACCTGTCAGAGCGTCAGTGAGGAATGAAGCCTCCTTTATACACCCTCTGATGGTACAGGTGGATCCTTAAACACATGCACGTGTAATGAAAGCTGGTCCTCTCTCTAGGTGGCCAAAGTGATGTAAAAGGAACTTGGCATAAATAAGATTCAGGTTCAATACATACAAATAAATGTAAGGTATGTTCACACTGCAGGAATTTTCCCCAAAAATATTTAGGGTACTTGAGCAATGAATAAAGTAACTACTTCTTACTTCCTCTGAATGTCTATCAGAAAAAAAGGCAATTTATATATTTCATTTATGAAAGAAAAAAAAAGCAAAGCAAAAGCCCAAATGTCATACCAGCAGTTGAATCATAAAAATCCTGCAGTCTGCCAGGTGTGTTTTCCAACTCTTCGTACTCAAACGCTTGCAGTATCATCTCACACTGATCCAACTGTTTTACAAACTTGGCTTCTGCAGTACACTGGTTTTCATATTCCTGCACAGATTTGCAGTTATAAGAAAGAAATTGTGTTGTTCTGAAACAGAGTATTAGAAGCTTTTTATATATCTAGAATTTTCTTCAGTAGTACAAGCCACTCCATAAATATACACAACAGTTACGTCTTTCACTCTTTGTAAGACTGCTATAAGTACGTGCTAAATTTCTGTTAAATGCAATGGGACTTAACACAATTCTTTTGCATGCTCCAACTTAAAAACATCCAAAGTGTTTTGGCTGAAACAGGGATGATATGGAGACAATCCTACACAACATAAAGAGTTAAATAATAGGTTCAATTTAACAACAATTTATATACAAAGTCTTTTCAGGCCTGGCTAAGGCTATGAATTACCACAGTGTGTGTCTATGCATTACCAGTACCTATTTTTAAGACCTTTTTTTTCCACTTTTCTCCACCACTTGCTGTTTTTATAAGAAGTTGTTCTTTACATTTCTCCTGTGACTCCTTCTTAATCTCTTTGCTCTAATCTGTCTGAGCTGCTTATGTCTTTATGTCTCTCATAGGAGATAGGGAGGGGAGTCATTAAGGGGTTTCCTCTGCTTCAAGACTAAGTCCTTTAATCTCCCTTCTATCTTCTCCCTCTCCCCAGTCACCATCAGCATATATTTGCGAGTCATTCACATTTCTAGTCAACTTGAACAATTTTGCTGTCATTTGCCTCCAGTGATGGCTACAGACAAGTTTGCCATTTCATTTTCTCTTTTCTAAATCTACTGCCTTGTATTTGATGTTTCATCAGATGGTCTTCTCCTAACTTCCAAGGCCAATCACAGAAAAAGACTTCTTTTTGTGCAGGTTACCATAACCTCAATATCCTCAGCAGGTCTGATCCCATTCATCATCAACACCTCCAATAAGCAGACCAGAAGCTTCAGTACACACCAGGCCCATCTGTGCTTTCAGATCCACACAACCCATGACACAGAGCAGTTCCGCAGGTGAGAGCAGTACAAGTGCAGGAAGAGTTTTTCCTACTGGCCAAAGACTGTGGCATCTCTTTCTGCATCTTAAGACAACAACTGTGGGTGTCATCCACAGTGGCAAGGTCCTGGGTTGTACTTCCAGCACAGTGATGCTCAGGTAACTGTGATGGTCCATTTTCTTGTCTGACATACCATTAGGAGCCTGTTTGTTCTTACGCTTATTGCATTACCTTTGAAAGTCCAAAATCCAGATTTTGATAACCATGATTGATTCATATCCTACTCTATTTGAACAATGTTTTGAATTTTCAATTACATTCTGATCATTATTTTAGTAATCAATTTTGTTTCAGCATTTCTACCTTCTTTTCATAGAATCTTTAGGTTGCAAGGGACCTTTAAAGGCCATCTAGTCCAACTCCCCTGCAACGAGCAGGGACATCTTCAACTAGATCACGTTGCTCAGAGCCCCGTCCAACCTGACCATGAATGTTTCCAGGGATGGGGCTTCTACCACCTCTCTGGGCAACCTGTGCCAGTGTTTCACCACCCTCACTGTGAAAAATTCTTCCTTATACCTAGTCTGAATCTACCCTCTTTTTGTTTAAAACCATTACCCCTTGTCCTATTGCAACAGGCCCTGCTAAAAAGTCTGTCTTCATCTTTCTTACAAGCCCCCTTTAAGTATTAGAGGCTGCAATAAGGTCTCCCCGGAGCCTTCTCCTCTCCAGGCTGAACAGCCTCAGCTCTCTCCGCCTTTCCCCACAGGAGAGGTGTTCCATCCCTCTGATCACTGTTGCCCTCCTCTGGACCTGCTCTTTTCCTCCTTTCCATTTGAGCTTTGCCTCGTCTTTAAATTGCTTAAATACTACTTCTTATTGTCTTAAATCTGTTTATTTCTAGTCTTTTTTTTTGGCCAGCAAAGAGAACAAACTCTTGGCATCATTACAAAGGAAAACTTCAGGAGAGAGAGAACTACGGCTGTTTGCTTGTAAAGGTCTGTCCCACCTCCAGCAATTAACTAGGAGTATCAATCTGTTAACCAACCTCTTTGTGCCATACAACCCACCAGGTATTATTCATACCTCAGCTCACATTAACCTCAAGAAACATCAGCTGTTATATGTGCAACTGTGCATGGTGCTGAAATAAACACTGTTTACTCCCCGCAGGTGTTTAAACCGTATACTTTGGAAAAACAGTAACCAGTCTCTCAAACACCACAGTCTGTCTTTTAAAAATTACTCCTGTGCTTTTGCTCTTGAAAATAAAAAAGCAGGACAGAGCTGAAGTGTGTTGACTCATTTACTTCAAAGTTTTTTCAAATGTATTCTGGATTAAGTCATAAAGTGAAAATATATCAGAGGCATCTTTCTGCTACCTTTCTCCCCTACACTACACTTGCAGAGTGCCCACCAATACAGTCCAAAGCAATAGTCCTTGTAAGGCTGAAA